GACTATGGTTATTGGTTACATAATACTAGTCATACTTTGGATGTTGTACAAGTTATATAAAATGATCATTGTAGTGTTTTGTCGTAATTTTTTAAAAGAAAAATCTAATTATGAATCGATCAAAGCTAATAATGAACTTGAAAATACGACACCTAATATGATAAAAACTCGACTCAGGTTTACTAATAGTATTTTGCTACACAACGTTAACAAAATGATTGTTGAAAACCTAAGTGTAACACACGAAGTGGAGCCGTTAGTGAATATTCAATTTAATGTAGTTTTAGCAAAATCTGACGTAGAGATTAAAACTTAGGATGCTATTGAAGTATTCGGTCTTCAGATAAATACAAACAATCCATCAAATTTAGTAGTTAACATTTAAATCGATAACAAGGCAATTGAAACAAAACTTGCCTTAGATGTTGATAACATATCTCCTATTAAAACGGATGTTGTATCAACACTTTCTAGAGATGTGCGTAAATTTGACGTCTTCTCTGAACAAATTGCACCTAACGATACAAAAGTATTTAGAAAACGTTTTGATAAGCAGAAATGCGTAGTGGCGACTAAAAAATCGCGTTTATTTACAACTCTGAGTATATACAAGGTGATTTTTTTATCATAACCCATTCAAATACTTTCAGAATATATATAATATAAACATTTTTTTTTTGGTTTTCTTTAATTACACATTATTCTTGAATTATTAACTATCTAAAACTTTTTATGTTCATCCCATATACCTTGTAAAGGTGTCAACTTTGTTTTTTTTAATGTGAATACATATTTTTAATTTAATAAAATGATTATAAATACAGTTAGCTAATTAGATTTTTATGATATTGCTGTCAGTCATNATGATTATAAATACAGTTAGCTAATTAGATTTTTATGATATTGCTGTCAGTCATGGATTGTTTATTATCAATTATGACTATCAATAGATATACTTTCTGTATTGTCAGTTAGTGTATTTATAAACTCATAACAATGTGCCTTACTACCATTGATATAGCAATGCTGTGTATCTGCTAATATCGATGTCATAAAATCCAATTAGCTACCTGTATTTGTAAACCCTTGTGTATTATACATGTAATTAACTCAAATTTTGAAACTTTAAATGTTTATATCTAATAAACTAATAAAGTTATACTAAAAATTCAAATGCCATTTACTATTGAATTAAAAATCCAAACATTTTATTAAATTAAAAATATGTGTTCCCATTTAAAAAAACAAAGTTGACAACCTTACAAGGCATAAGGGATGAAAATAAAAAGTTTTAAATAGTTAATAATTCAAGAATAATATGTAACTAAAGAAAACAAAAAAAAAAAAATGTTTAAATTATTATTACTCTGTAAGTAATTGAGTGGGTTATGATAAAAAAATCACCCTGTATACGTGTCGAAATATTTATTGAATCATATCATAGCAATTTGCAATAAAAATAAGTAAGTAAATTTATGTTATCCCAATTATCTAGAGTTAATAAATCTGAGTTCAGTTGGGCTTCAGCTATCGTAGCGATAAATCGTGTTACTGTTAAAAAAAAAATTTATTTAACAATTTTTTTAACTTATATTCTTAACTATTAATATAAATGTATAATGTTTTTCTCATGAAACTGTGTTTTAGACTACATGTTGTAAAGACGTTGTCTTTAAACAAAAGTCTTTTACGTTTTATGTATAATTTTTTTTAGCAATAACTGTACTAAAAAATATCATATTGCTATAATACACTATTAACACTATACTATATATTATTATTCGTTAACATAAAACACTTACAAATGTTATTTTATAAATTAATAACAAAATCAGAAATTGGTATTTATCCACATTACTAGTTATTACATAATTATTAACTATATTTTTATATTCATTATCACTATAATATTATCATTATTATTATTATTATTACTATTATAGTATACCACACTCACATATTATTATTATTATTATCATTATATATATGATATAGTTTTTTACTTTTTTTAATATTTAAGCATAATATACATCATTATTTTTTTACTTCACTCATAACGAATACATACTAGGCACTGACATACAAATTCAATAAAAACCACATATTTTATAAATTGAATAAGTTAGTTTTTAAAAAAAAATTGCTATTATAAAACTCCCCCTGTGAGCAAGTTAAGTGTTATATTTTCAAAAAAATGATATCAAATAAAAGATAAATATCTAAGGTTTTAATATTAAAAAAAACCAAGCACAGGGGGGTCGCGGCACAGTTGTGACGTGTTATAGTTGGATCAAGTATAATGATATCTGACAGTGATTAAAATCACTATCAAAAATAAACGCTTCGATGCAAATCTTTAGATAGTGTTTAATTAAAAAAAAATTGGTGTTTGATTCCAAAAGCTACTTGATCTGCTGGTTCCTTAATATCTCGATTAAGAAAAAGTATGTCGAATGAAAAAGGGTTTATTAAAAAATATTATTTCTCATAAAAAAATTGTGTGGATCCATAAACTTTTCAATAAATTATAGCATTATAAAGTTAAATATAATATGAATAATAAAATCGAGAATTTTCACACGAAAATAGCATTCGGTAGCCATTTTCGCCGTGAAGAAAAGTCCAGAGGTCAAATTTTTTTTTTTCAAATTAAAGTATATTACATTAGCTTTAATTTAAGATATATATAAAAGTGTCAGACCTTCCGGAACATTTTCAAAAGTTAAGTTGAAAAAGTTAATTTTTTGTGAAAAAGTTGTCATTTTAAATCCCCTCCTGTGGGCAGAAAAAGGGTCAAATTTACAAAAAAAATATACCAAATAATAAGTAAAGACATCAAGCATCTATAAAAAAAAAAATTATATTGATATGTTCATTTTTGAAAAAGTTACGGCAGTTTTTAGTAAAAAAAATTGAAAAAATTTCGAAAATTAGCGATTTTTAAATTTGTA